GAAAGAGACCTTGAGAGATTTTTCAGAGGCTACGGTCGATTCCGTGATGTTCTCATCAAGAATGGTTATGGCTTTGTTGTAAGTACTTGTATACAGCTGTAAATACCAAGAATAACACTTTGCATTCGCTCAATTTGGTCCCATGATAATATTCATTCAATTTCTCGTTTAACACTGTTTGCAACTTCAGATTCCGCACATTTTTATGACTGTTGTGCCTCTAGTTCAGCTGAAACAAGTTATAATACTTTTCAATTCTGTGGTCTTGTGCTCATATATCATTTTAAATGTTATAAATCTTTCGAGAAATATTTCTTTTTTTATATTTATGATGAGAACTATTTATATTTGATATTCCAATCTTTTTTGCATCGAGATGGCTATGCACAATTGTGCAAACTTAAAAAATATTGTTCTTAAAAGATAGTTTACTCTTTGCTATCATCATTCGGATCAAAATGGGTAAGCTGCAATTTGTTAAATTACAAACATAAACTCGATAACCTGGGTTGACCTGACCTGAGCCCTGAGCATATTGGTGACTGCTTAGAAGAGCTGTTTGCTGCTTATCATCGATTATTCTGCGATATTTTGTAAGTTATATACAATTCGGAAAAGAAAGAGGGAACCATTTACAATGGGCAATATGTATTACATAAATAATTATCCACATCAACAATTTAAAATTTTATCAGCACTTGTATTAAACAATTTTAAAATATAGATATGTTAAAACTTGTATTATTACCATATTAATATCATGTATACATTTACACTGTGAATAATGCAGTGATATTTCTAATTCGACATTCAAAACTTTTTTAATTAATAAATTTTATACATTTTTTTTAATATAAAAATGTATCAATTACATATATATTTTGAGAGCGAGATTATTATGCGCATATAAAAAATATAAAAAATTATAGCAAAGTTACATCTTATTTTTCTAGATAATAACAGAAAAAATTCTCTTTTCTCAGGAATTCGATGACTATAGAGATGCCGATGACGCCGTCTATGAACTAAACGGAAAGGAACTTTTAGGAGAAAGGTAATGCAAATCCGTTTTATTCAGTGTATGAAACATATATGTACACTAGGCGATTATATTAGGCGGAATGGTATAGGTAGCATGTTTGCATGATTGACTAGTTTTATATTTCTATTGCAATCCATTTAATATGTGGATTGTTACTTTGATTACGTTAATGTTTGATATTTTATCATAATCATAATATTATTGGTACTGGGGGCTCTCTGTTTATAATCTAAGCAAGTTTTATAGATAGCATTTAATTCATTACGTTAACACCGAGGATGAATTGATAAATTTGGCACTCATTTGGAATTGACTAATATCACATGTATAATAATTATAGATACAACTCCTTCCTATCGATCTTTGTATATATCATTTAGATACATTAACTGTAACTCTATTAATTATAGCAATCTTATATTTTGCCATTTCTATATTTAGGGACAAATTAAAAAAAAAAAATTAATTTAGGTTATATGCACAATGATTTACTATGTATTAATTAATGAAAATTATTGAAGGATAATAATCTTCTTCTAGTATATAATATCTTAATATTTTATTAATTTGTAATAGTTTATTTTCAGTGCGTTTTGATATGATTTGTAAAGTTGAGTTGTGAATAATTAACATTTTTGAACAACAAAAATACTATTTTTTATAAAATATTCTAAACGACTCATTCCCGCTAATGATTAATTTTTTTTTTTTTTTATTAGGGATTTGCGTTTTTTAAGAAGTACTTAGTGAAACTGAGTCATTTAAAATATTAAATTAAATAAGTATTCTATATATACATTATGTCTTGTTATCTTAAATAAAGTTTGCTATCATATACTCTATCATATGTTCTTGCTGGGTTATTGGAGATTAGATTGGTACGTGAGAAGCAATAGCATTCGATTAACAACAAAATTAAATCTTTATATATAAATTTCTAAAACTAATTTTCATTTAGAAAATTATAAAAATTTCCATTTTCATGGTGTATGCTTATCTCTTTCTATCTTTTCCTATTGGGAATTTATGTAAGTGTGTCAGTAATGTTAGTGGCTTCTCTATATAAAAATAAATAATAGTAGCTTTTTTTAACATACAATACTGAAAATCTGACAAAGTGCGGGAGTATTCTTAACACTAATCGCATTATGTTTCAACCTGTACCAGTAATATTATTCGCTGTTGCTTCTATTTGATTAAAGACAAATGTACAATGCACAATTATCTGTTCGCATTAAACGGGTATTTCATTAATGCCTTTTGATTTTGCGTCTTTAGTAAAAGCGGCGTCTGTCCTCCAAATTAATGATTGGATCTTTACCGAGATAAAGAAAAAGTGTGTCTTAAAAGACCGTTGTGACTTACCGCCATTTTGAACTACTTCCATCAATTCCCCGAGTAGCAAATGATTATCAAAGTAATTATAATAATGCATCTACGTCTGGAGAAATGTTATATTGCTTCTTTTTTTATGAAAGGGCATTCGGCACATGTGCTTTTTCATAATTTTGTCGCGTGATCCTGTATAAAATGCAGTGCTTCGTACTCTAGCTAGAGAGAAAAAAAAGAAGGAATTTCAAAATTATACGGATCACGGATTTGATTACGAAAAAGCTGATGGATGTGGTGAAAGAGAATTAACTCGGTGATAAGTAGTATTGTTGTAAGGAAAGCAGTTTAGATTAGGGACGAGGACGAGTCGTGAAAGAGAGAGAGAGAGAAAGAAAAAGAGAGATAGGGGGGAGAAAGGGAGAGGGATAGCGCTTCAAACGAAACTGGACGATATAGAAATACTGAGAGACGGATGATATTTGAACGGATTTCGGGAGAAAGGAGGCTGAGGAATGGAAGGAAAAGGAAGGAAGGAAGAAAGCAGCTTTAGAGAGTAAGAATTAGTCGTGGACTTAGGCGGGGTTTTGTTGGGTGTGTTTCAGAGTGGCGGTGGAGATAGCACGGGGTGTTTCAGGGAGGCGAGGCGACCGTGGCTACGGACGCTCACGCTCCTGGAGAGACAAGTAAGCATATCCAATGTGTCTTGTTACAGAATTACTGTAGAGAGGGCTCGGGGGACACCTAGGGGTAGTGACCAGTGGCGCTATGGTGACTCCCGTGGTGGTTATGGGGACTCGAGGCGATCTGCGTAAGACACGCTATCCTTTTTTTTATTTTATCAGAGCGATCATTATCCCCTCCCCTGCAGGCAAGCCGGTTAAAGATGTGCGAAATCCAAACGATTGATCGATTTACCGATTTCATTCCAATGATTTTCTTGTATATAGAATTTTTTATTTCTTTTTATTTTTTTTTCTTATATATTGCTGCGTCCATCGGTAAGTTTTTTCTTTTTTTTTTTCCTTTTCCTGCGTGATTGATTTCGCACATCGTCCGCACAGGGAAGAACGTAACCTTGGATATTGATAAGCTCTAGCGTAGAAAGAGCATTGAGACGAGTGATAAATAATCGCGTTTTTGCAAGCTTCTCTTGCATTTGCGCATTACGGAAAGTATAAAAGTCCGATTAGAAATCGAAATTAGAAATCTTTTCTTCTGAATTGGTTGTCTTGGATTTGACTACTCTCCCGAGTACGTCGAATTGTCGAAAGTTTCGCCGCGATAAAGATAAAAACGATAGCAAAAAAAAAATAAAAAAAAGAAGAAAAAGAAAGATAACGCCTAGCGATTAACCCTCCCAGAAACATTATGTTTATTGCTGGTAGTTGAATGAGATGGATCGACTGAAAATTGGTGACTAATAGATGTGTGGTATTGTGTTTGTTACAGCCGAGACGATATGCGGCACGACAGGTACGATCTATTGCTGCATTTTGAATAGATTTGATTCGATTGGAACAGGTGATTGATTGTGTGCCTGAGCAATGAGTGCAGATCTGTAGTTATTTGCTGAAGGTTTAACCGACGATCCGTTATTTCTGTTCACATGACATCCCTTTTTGCAGAGATAGTGTGAACAGAAACACGAGGACTGCATCTAGCTACAAGCAATCATTGCCCAGGTACATACATCCAATGTTACGCTCTAACGATTACAATTTAACTTATACAAACTTTAATTGTTGCAAATGTCTTGTAAAATATATAATTTCTTTTTTTTTTTGCGTTTTATATATCATACTTTCATTCGCTAATGCATTAACGTAAAGTCAGGTCCAAGACAAACCTGCTTGCTCTCGAGATATACATGTAGATAATAGCCGATCTTTTTCCCATTGTAGATATGGACCACCCACACGCACCGAGTACCGCCTCACCGTGGAGAATTTATCAAGTCGTGTCAGTTGGCAGGTAAGCGGCATACACGTATCTCGCTTTTTTCTTGTGCATTTTTTTTAACATCATTTATATGTTCGTTACTTTACTACTCGCGATTCCAATGAAGACGTTGCACCGCTTTATATGCGTTTTTCGTATCTATATATCGCTGAGAATCTCTTAAGTTTTACCGAGTTTTTCTGCCGGTTGTTTGTGCCAAATTCCACGCGTATATTTACAGCATTTCTTTATTCAATTCTCTTTCGTCTCATATTTTACGTTCATTTACTCATTTGAAAAAGAGAGCCCTATTTTGGAATCGAAAGATGTAAGATTTTGATCAAGTAAGTCTGGCAAAAGTCGAAATTTTCATGAAATACATGTGCAAAGATCGCGATCTACGAGAGCGAAAAGATAAAGATGAAACACAAGAGAGGAAAAAAAGAGAATAAACATTCGCTATAAAAATGACAAAGATATTCATATGCGTATGAGATGCGAGAAATGCATGGAACATTATCATACCCGATACAAAGGACACAGGCATGCGCGGAGGAACTCGGAGAGTAGCAACGGCCCGTGATGATGAAACCATTGCAACCGGACAGTCTTGGATGTTCAGCGGACGCCATGGATGAAGAGCTGTAAAGCGGAAGAAATAAAAGCGATGAATGTACGGAGCATATAGATGGAGACGCAAGACAAGTAAATGCAAACGATATGTGGGAAATACCAGGACGCAAATAGATGCCTCGAAAAGAGTCATATTGATGAATCGAAATGATAGAGACAGATTACTTTTTATGTACACGTGGACCCAAGTCTTACTTGATCAATTTACATTGCGTACATTTGTATATACATATATATATTATAATATGATCTATAATATATTTATCTCGTTGCACTTTTCTGATGATTGGTTGTTATATTTGATGCAAAGATATTCTCTCACTCAGTCGAGTCTCGATTGTTCGACGTTACTTTTTCAATTTATTATTTCATTTACGTTACGGCCAGCAGTTTTTGAGGAAAAACAAAATAAAATTGATGTTCTTTCCGAAGAGCCATATCCTCTTCGCCGAGGACGGGCGACCGGTAGGGCCAATAGACTGATGATGTACGATGATGATAAAGATGACGATGCACACGATGGGCCCGCCTTAAGGTCAAGTGGCACCTGTGGTTGGTTTCTGAGGTGTCCCGGGTGACAGAGAGAGCCGCGTGGCATGGGGGTGTACACCTATATCTACCACCTATCTACCATCATGCTCTACTACTTGCGCGCCGTGATACGTGGTGAATCCCGGTGAAATCCCAGTGACGATAGGGTTATTGTGCGTACTCCGATCCTCCATCGTGATCACTGGGGAAAAGAAGGGAGAGAGAGACCCAACCGCTGCGATCTACCTTACTCTGTCTGGGAGAGACAAACATTTATTTACGTAAAAAAACTCCACCAAATATATACATCACCACTCTTCCTCTTACTAGACCGCGATACACGGTCGTATAATTCAGTACCTTCACCATCGACATCACCATTACATCCACCAACCATCACATCTACCATTCCACCGTGACTGTCACTGCCACTGGTGTACGCCACGCAACCTAGCCGTCTAGTAAGTCAGGCAGCGGCCACAGCCATGAGGGCGAACGCGGGTCGAAACCCGAACCATCCGCGACTGCGCCACACAGATCCGTTCGACCCGACCGAGCGCCGTGTGTGTCTGGCCATTCTCTCTGTCCGTAAGCAAGGTGGTGCCTGGGCCCAAGGTAAATGCGTCACCTTAACCGAGTGTACTCTCTTAGATATACACATATATATCTATTATATCTTATATACACTTAAACGTGTCTTGTTCCACATATGTATATCATATATTATATATAATACCTATATCTATATATATATATATATATCATTTGATACTGTGCACCATAGCTCAGACATTGCGTGCATCCAACCATTGAGACGTTTCATGAAGCTCGGAGCTGTGCATTTAATCCAGTATCGAAGATAGGAAAACTAGCAATATATTTCTGTGCTCGAAATTAGGCATTCGCTTGTTATCTGATATAGATTTCGTATCTTCGCGTACTTTTTACATCGGTTTTCTCTCTTTCTTTAAGTCTATAGCTTTTTATCGTGTTATATATTTTTATCAAAATTTTGAGAGACTTTTCTTTATGCAAGGCAATTGTATCATTACAATGTCTTTTGAATGTAACAAACGAGAAACAATATTTCAGAGGATGTTCGTTCATACGCTCTATTTTCCCCCTTTTCACGGAAAAACTCGCGCTCGGACCTTGAGAGACACCGGCATGAACCTCAGAAAAGCCGTCGATGATGGTATCCCATAAATATGGAGATGTCTGCATTTGTACTGTGCAAAACGACTGGCGCATCTACCTACCTATCGCGTACCTTCACAACACTAAAGCCGTACCTGGTTCCCACAGAAAAAGAGAGAGAAAGAAATATTATATAAGCACATCTCCCAGCAATGTATGAAGTCAAACGGGCTCTAGACAATATCCACTTTTATTCGTTGATTTACGAAGGAATGACTGTAAAGCATTAGATTCTAGCATGCAAAAGAGACAACGATAATGGAATAGAAAGAGAACAGTTAATACGGAAGAAACCATCTTGGAACATGAAGAAAGAAGATTCGTGAGAGACAAACGAGACAAGGATTATCGATGGATTTTCTTCAGGATTTAATTTTTAGTAAAATATTTACAGAACTTTTATCTTGTTGCATTAGTTCTATTTTTATGTTCTCAAGCTTGCTTTTCCTATTTTATTGCGATATAAAATGTATTCTGATAGCCTCAGGAATTTAGAAAATTCTGTTAAACAATTGTAGTATATCTGAATTTTTTGCATCTGCTTGATAGTGATTTTTTTGCAATTGTGCATAGAAATCTACTTTCCTAAGAAATCATTCATCAAAATAGTATATTGAATATTTGAATATTAATTGCATATATGTATCACTATTTTTTTTTAATTAAAGATATACTGAAAAAATATCACATTTATTACTTTTGTAATTATATATTGTGAGCCATTTTGCGGAACGAGAAAGAAATAAGAATATATTAATTTAAAAATATTGATTGACTTTTTTATATTTTATATACTTTTAATTGATTTCATTAAAAGTATGTCATTCCGCAGAATGGAGCTGTGTATATGAAAATGAAATATTATAATCATATTTATTTCAAGGATTGAATTGCAAAAAGAAAGGTTGCATCGATAGCAGATACTAAATTCGAGCACAATATATAACATCACTTTCAATATTAAAGACGCGAGCAGATGTAGAACACTATACTATGCTTGTCTCTCTTCTTCTTTAATCGAGTAGATCCAGGTTATCTCTGCCACAGGAAAAATATCAAAATAGAATATAACATATGAGTGCACAGGATATATTTTAACCTGCCTGCGTGATACATCAGACTAGGAACACAGTATAGTAAACTCCATACGCAACTACTAATTTTAAATCTAGCCGCATATCTGCAAATTTACATACAAATATTAATTCTGGTTCTTGTGTGATGTTCAGGATTTGAAGGATTACATGAGACAAGCTGGAGAAGTGACATATGCTGATGCTCATAAGCAACGTAGAAACGAGGGGTGAGTGAATTATTGATTATAATCGTAATTAATAAAATTAATTTTCTATGTAAAACAAAAATGAAATAACAAGAAGAAATTGCTAATAAAAGTATTGCAAAATTATTTATAATGCAAGATAGATATATTATAATCATTTATTATAATGTATCTGTAATGTATCTGTCTTGTCCATTTAACAAATGTGTTGATTTAACAAATGAAATTTTTAATGTTCTGCAGAGTTGTAGAATTCGCGACGTATTCCGACTTGAAAAACGCTATCGACAAATTGGATGATACAGAATTAAATGGTCGCAGAATTAGGCTCATCGAAGATAAGAGACGCGGCCGTCGTTCAAGATCATCTAGTTCAAGATCACGCTCGCGATCTCGTTCGCGATCCCGTCGTCGATCGCGCTCCCGCTCAAGGTATAATCGTCGTTCTCGATCCCGATCAAGATATTGTCGGGGCGACGCTACGTCACCTATTATTTTTTTTCTAATATGATTTTTGTCCTTTTGTAGATTTTTTAATTTTAAGCTTGTAATTTCCGTCTTATAATTTATATATAAAACGATTAATGTATTCTTTTTTAATTTTTTGTTTCGAATTACGATCATTGTAACCACTTTTAGTTTTTGTGTTAAAAAATAATTTATATTGCACAATTTAACTTTTCCTAAATTATAAATTTATATTTTTAATTGCTTTATTTGATTATACAATAAAATATATTTTGTTTTATGTGTCATCGCATAATGAGATAGTTTTGTGCACAACAATATCAGAAAATCTTTTAAAACACTAAATACGTCTCATCACTATTTTCTCTAACGCAGGAGCCGCCGCAGCTCTCGCAGTCACAGTCGCCGTAGCAGCCGTTCCAAATCTAGAGCACACTCGAAATCCAAGTCCAAGTCTAAATCCAAATCCCCCGAGCGCAGTCGCTCACGCTCAAAGTCCAAGTGAGTATTTCGTCTCCAAAAAAAAAAAAAATATATATATATATATATTTTTATATTATTTTATTTATTTCATTATTCACAGCCGTTTGCTCCTCTGTATACTCAAAACTACGTACATTTATTTTACTTGTTTTATTTATTTTCTTGCGCAGTTAATATAATCGATGTACACACTCTCATTCCCATCTGTTATTGGCATTGTTTTTGGGCTGGCTATGTGCCTTGAGCTCTCACGCTTAATCACGCTTTATACGCGTTCACTTACTCACCGTGTACGCTGGGAAACAGCAGAAAGCAACGAGTTTATATTTTGTCACTTTCTGTACTTTTTCGTCCCTCTTTCATTTTGAACTATAATTTTGCAGATCAAGAGACCGCTCAAAGTCGAAATCTAAGTCAAAGTCCAAATCCAGATCTCGTTCTAGGTCCAAGGCTGAGAGGTCAAAGTCCAGGTCGCAGTCCAAATCCAAAGCCAAGTCTCCCTCAAAGTGAGTCCTCTCGCTGACTTTAATCGATGTTTCTTTAATCGATATATTGTACTTGGCGCAAGAAAAGCGAACCTTCCCGAGCGACGGCGCGAATAAATCCCCATGTTTCTCCTTTTGTCATTTTAGGGATAGATCAAGCCGCGAGCGTTCCAGAGGAGACAGATCCAGATCTCGATCGGGAAGCAAACACAGCAAGAGCCGAAGCCGCTCTCGCTCGCCCATGAACGGTGACAAGTCACCGGAAAGCAAGAAAGCTGATTGATTAAACTATATATTTTCAATTAAACTATTTTTTCTTTTTTTTGTACATTGAATCACATTTGAAAACCGCCAATATCTTATATCTTACAATTTTCGATTATTAATTGTAACAATAAAGTTTCACGTTATAAACCTGTACACATTGTATCAAGACTCTATCACACTTTGATATTTGGGATATCAAATCAAACACAATCGGCTTAACTATTCACATTATTGTTGATTCATGGCAAATTATTATTTAGGTTTTTTTAGCCAGCTATGATATATATATATATATATATACTAGCCGTATCTTGTGCTTTTTTTATTATTATAATTTCTCTTTTATTATTTTTAGTGGTTAATTTAGATTTAGCAAAATACGCATCATCCAACTTGAGCAATTCATGCATTTAGACAGATAAGGATTCTTTATTCATACCTCTGATTCTACATGTTTTTATCATGTTCTACATATATCACCATATATCAGTACGAATTTTCTTATAATAACTGCTTTTTGTATATATTACCAAAAGTTACATTACAATATAAGAAGGTATGTGATGTGTATTAAATTTAGCGGTAAGAGGCATCTTGATTGTCAATAAAAATTCTTGTCAATGCAGATTAATGCACTTTATACTCGAACGCACTCTCTCTCTCTCTCTCTCTCACTCTCTCTCTCTTTACTCCATAACCCGTTTATTTATTCTGTACATCTTAAAAGATACTTGGAAAATATTTTCAAATTTTGAGATAAAATTTATTTCTAATATTGTGTGTGACTTATATACAAAGAGTAATTTCTTTATATAATTATTAGGAAATTATTTGTTTACTTGTATTAAGCAATTATTGTGTATATTGTATAATTGTATTTCATATATAGAGAAGAAATTAAGATTTTAGTTCCGATTAACGCTATTTGCTGCGAGCGCAATCCCGTATTTAATTTGTTTCTTTCTGCATTTCTGAATAAGGGAAATTGAAGAACATGGTCAACATTGTGCGATCGTATATTAAAAAAATTATAATTTCGACGAATTATAAATTTGCTAATTGTTTTGATTAATTTCTTATAAAATTAATATAAATATTATCGTATCTCTAATCTGTATGAAGAATAATATCGAATCTGTGAAGAAAACTCTGCGAAACTGGTTCTATTATCGGTTAAAATTCGACTGTTGAATTTGCGGAACCTAATGCAGCCGGGCGAACATATGACGCGCAGCTGGACCCGCATAGGACCCGGATGACTCAACAGCATGCGTCAACCCCCGATATTTTTGTACACCGCTC